GACGTTTCTGACTCTGACTTTGGTGTAGATGTGTGTGTGATGTCACCAGTGCTGCAAATTACACCAGCAGCAAAAAGACAGAAGAAGAAGAAGAAGGACAATTACCGTATTACTCGACTCTACTTCTTTTTTGGTGAAAGTGTGCAATGGACAGTGCTGGTGCTCAACTGCGATTTCGGAAAACCATAAGTAATGTAAGCCTTCCGCTTTGGGTATTGGGTGTTGGGTGAAAACTGAAAGGAAGGAAGGAAGGAAGCCTAAATCGGATCAATATTCTAGTGGCTTTTTCCCTGCCTTTTTGCGCCCACGTTTGAACCGGTTTACTGCTGCTGGTTAAACTTGTTCTTCTTTTTTGGGTGGCAGTTTTTTCTTGTCAGCCACCACCACCACTACTACTACTACAAAATATTAATACGTTGACGAAAAATGATTGAAATTTTCCACTCGCTTGCCTGCCTGGTAGTTGTTCCCAGACCATTTTTGCTCTCTGGCGCCGGTCTTTTTACAGACTGCACCGTCATTGCCGCCATTACTGCCGTTTTGGGGACTTTTCCTCTTCTTTTTTTTGAATTTTTATTTGCAATTGCCTCTTTTTCGTTCTCTAAAGGGGCCTTCACCCGAAAACCGGAGAAAGAAGGGGAGAAAGGGAAAAATTGCCACTGTCTGGTGGTTGGCTGTCCTTTTTGCGAAAACACGGCGCCGCCAAACTGATGGCGATTGCCCGAAGATAAATGCCACCACCACTTTTTTCCGCCACTTTTTGCCGCCGCCGCTGTTTGGTTTTTGAGAATCGCTAGAAGGAGGGAATGGGAAAATGCTGGGACTGGGAGAAAAAAGTTTAAGCAGTTTACTGCAAAGTTCTGGTTCATCATTAACCCCCGAAAGTTCTGCTACTGTGCACTACGACGACTACGACTACGACTACTGCACTGGCCGATTAAATTCTCGCAAAGCCCAAGTGAACGTCTAGTGCCGCTGGCTGCTGCTGTGAATTGAACAAATGCTGAAAAAAGTGCTCAGCCAACTCGATGCTAACTGGAGCTCGAGATGAGCCGGGCTCACTTTTACTTTTCACTCTTTTTGAACCACCACAGTAGAATCAGCAGCAGCAGTGACAGGAATTGGCAATCGATTTGTCGCGTTCATTTTCTCCTGTTTTTATTTGGTGGTGCACCAGTGGTGTTTAGCTGCTGCTGTTGCTGCTGTCCACCCCTTTTTTCAGCCCCTTCTCCTGAAAATTGTGGTGATGGCGAATCACCACCACCACCGTCACCACCATCATCACCGCAGTTGTGGTGGTGGCGGTGATCACCGAGGCGAATCAATTGCCCTAGCCAAGCGTAGCATAGAGAGAAAGAGAGTACACAGTGGGCGCAAATGCTATTACAGCACTGCTGCTGTTTCCAATGCTGATATAATGCTATTAATAATATGACTTTTATTTGGCCATTTAATGGTAATGCTATCTTTCTGGTTAGAAAAAGAGATAGAGGAATAGAACAGGAATCAAGAGCAGGAAAAGTTATAATCATTAATTGCCTATGAATCACACCGACACAACCACACACAATGCGAAGAAGAATACGCTAAGCTAGGAAAAGTGATGAGCAGAATTTTTCTTTTTCTTTTTCTCTTTGTCCAGCAGACAAAATATGCAAAACCAGAATATGAAAATATTTCTGGTTTCGGCGATTGCCGAATTCGAAATGTGTTGTGTTGGTGATTCAGCAGCAAAACTAGCTTTGAAGTCAGTCGGTGGTGGCAGCAGCAGCCGCCTCACTGCACTTTGAGTTGAGTTGAGTTGAGCACGGCGAATCTATTATTTATTTATTTACTTGCCTGTTTGCTTTGCGTTTTGATGTTCCTTGATTTCAGTTGTTCAGTTTTCTCCTCGTTGTAGTGCTTGCACTGGGAGTTGCTGTGCTCTAAGCGGCTTAGCCGTCAATCTTTTTCTCTCTCCCTGCTTTGACTGTCCGCTTTTCCGCCTACCGTACAACACTGCTGCTGCTGCCGTACACTTCATCGTACACGATCGATGCAACAGCAGCAACATCAGCAGCAGTAATTGGATTAGTTTGTTTGTGAGTGTGTGATGCACTCTTTGAAGTAAGACAAAAGCGGAGGAAGAGGACGACTTCATTTCAGCAGCAGCAGCACCTTCTCCGGTTTCTTTCCTGTTTTCATCCCTTTTCATCCCTTTTCATTCAGCTAGTCAGTTTCTGTACCTCTCACCATTATCACTGCTGCTAATTAAGAGGAGCATTTCAATTTAACGGGCTGTCTACTTCTTCTTTTCTCCTTTTTTCTACCCTTTCTAAATTTTGTCTTCTTTTACTTTTCCGACAGAGCTCAAAAGGAAAATCGATGGAGAAAACCGCCGCCGTCGTCGCCGGCAGTGCCACTTCTGGAGCACTCTTTCGAGGTGGCAACAGCAGCAGCAAAAAACACTGGGCCTCGCAGTCAGTCCGCCTCGGACGCATGAGGATTGAGAACAAAAGAGCGAAGGTAAGTTAAAAACGTGTTAAACCAGTTAAAAACCAGTTAAACCAAAGTTGAAGATTGAGCTAGTGGAAGATTGGGCGAGTAACTTACTCCCCTTAATACAGGTTTAGATACATAAGGCCTCACTGAATGAAAGCCAGTTATAAGGGGAGTAAGTTGCTGGCCCAATCCTCAACTAGCTCAATCTTCAACTTTGGTTTCAGTGTTGTTTGAAATATAAGAAAACGTGCAGTTAAACCAAAGTTGAAGATTGAGCTAGTGGAAGATTGGGCGAGTAACTTACTCCCCTTAATAGTGGCTTTAATTCAGTGACGCCTTATGTATCTAAACCTGTATTAAGGGGAGTAAGTTACTCGCCCAATCTTCCACTAGCTCAATCGCCAACTTTGGTTTCAGTGTTGTTTGAAATATAAGGAAACCTTGCAATGAGACAAAAGTTGAAGATTGAGCTAGTGGAAGATTAAGCGAGCAACTTACTCCCCTTAATACTGGTTTAGATACATAAGGCCTCACTGGATGAAAGCCACTATTAAGGGGAGTAAGTTGCTCGCCCAATCTTCAACTAGCTCAATCTTCAAATTTGGTTTAACTGCAAGGTTTCCTTATATTTCAAACAACATTTAATGAGCAAATGGAATTTTTTCAATTTGTTTACTGTTGTGACTGCAAGCATTGGAGAGCATGAAAACTGACTGACTGACTGCATTTGTTTGTGGGAGTGATAAAAATGAAATGTCAGAAAATAGACTGTAGTTTCTTGTTCTTTTTCCCTTTTGCACAACTCAACTTGATGTCGAGGTATGAATGCGCGCGCCTGTTCCTCCTGTTCACTCACCTCGTTGAAAGAATTTCAACAAAAAAATGCTTTGCTTGCAAAGGAGAAGAGAGGAACAAGTTTAGTAAAGTTATTAGCACAAAAGAGAAAAAATTTAGCATGCTCTCCTTTGTTGAGACAAATATTCTCATCAAGTCTGCAGCGTTGCTTTCTCTCTCGTCTGATCTACTGCAGTTCTGTACAACTAATGTTGTATACACTTTTTGTCAGTTTATCAAGTCAAAATTCGTTACAATATTGTAATTACCACCGCAAGTAAACAAAATGAGTTTCATGAGGCTATCACTGAATGGTGTGTGTGTACAGGTAAAATCAATAAACGTGAAAAATAAGTAGTATGGGAGAGATTGTAGGAGACAGCAAGTCAGTCAGTCTGTCAAACAGGCAAGGAGCCTCAGCTTCAAAGTAGCTCCTTTTTTACGCTGAGGTAGGCGGCTGGATCGGCTGGTTCATCATTTCCATCCTCCTCTTCACCATCTTTGCCAGGTTTCTCCTTCTTCTCCTTCTTCAAGTGGACATTGCGAATGTGGTTGATGGCGTGTACACGTTGACGGAACTCCATCGAGCAACCCAAATAGTTGCAGCCAAATGGTTTGGCATTGGTGTGCGTTCGTAGGTGTGGCTTGAGATTGCAGCTGCTCATAAGTTTACCGCATCCGGGCTCAGGACAGGCGACCTTCTTTTCAGCTGTCTGTTTTGGCTGCGGTTTTGGATTGTTGGCAATGACAGTGTTTTCCTGAGCAGTGTCCTTATCCAGCTGTTCAACGTCACCGCCACCGCCACCAGCACCGNTCTTTTCAGCTGTCTGTTTTGGCTGCGGTTTTGGATTGTTGGCAATGACAATGTTTTCCTGAGCAGTGTCCTTATCCAGCTGTTCAACGTCACCGCCACCGCCACCAGCACCAAAGGTGCTTGAATCCATTCCATGTTCCATCAGAGCCTGCTCTATCGGAATGACCACCAGCACCTCATCAGAAATGCTGAAGGCCACGTCACCCTCAGTGACCGCTTTCTTCTTGTTTGGCTGACTGTTGCTGTTGTTGCTGCTGGTAGTGTAAAAGCCATCCTCTTCAGCCATTCGTTTGTAAAGACCAGAAAACGGCTGAGCAGCAGCTGAAGTAGAGGGCCCAGGCTTGGACTTGGTTGCAAAGATCATCTTGCTTTTCGGTGGGTGGGAAGGTGACACAGTTGAAGTGTTCATTGGTGACTTGGTGGTCGGCGGTTTGACCAGAGTAGAAGTGGCAGCGCCGGAAGGTTTCACCTGATCATTGACAGCACTTTTCGGAGGCAGCAGCATCTCCTTGACCTGCCCAACCATCTCCTCAAAGAGTCCATCAACGATGACTTTTACCGACTCCATCAATCGCTCCTTTACCAGGGCCTTCTTTCCCTCAAAGAAGGAGTCCACCAACGAGTGCATCACAGAGGAGTTGTTCAAGGCCAAATGGTTGCTAAAGGAAAACATGGTAAAAGAGTGGAGAAAGAATAAGTAAAGACACAAAAATGCTGAAACAAGTGAAATCAAAATGTGTATTTGGCGCAGCGACAATAACAGTAAAAATGAAAAATGTGTAATGTTGAGTTGTTAAATCTGGTTAAAGTTCTAAATTAAAATGCAATGACTGTGCTTAATTGGCCACGTTGGCACAGTGGCTGACCAATTTTAGAGCAACTCCTCTTTCACGGTGAGGTAGGTCGATGGATCGGAGGGATCGTCTGCTACCTCATTTCCACCCCCTTCAGCATTGTTAGGTTTCTGTTTCTTGAGATGCACAGTGAGAATGTGGCGGATTGCGTTTTCGCGCTGACTGAACTCTTTAGAGCAGCCGGGGAAGGTGCACCCAAATGGTTTGGCTTTGGTGTGCGTTCGCATGTGACGCTTCAGTTCAGCGTTGCTTAAGAAGTGCTTGCCACAGTTCGGCTCAGTGCAGGGATGCTTTCCTGATTGAGTCGGTTGACGTCGATGTTTTTCGGAAACATTTGAAACATTGTTGATTGGATTGGCACTGATGTTCGCCAGCTCAATGTTGCCGCCACCAGCACTGTCATCGATGGCTACGTCACCATAGTCATCCTCGTCACCAAGTGGACCATCAATCTGCAGTTCCACAGTGACCGCTTTCTTCTTGTTTGGCTGACTGTTGCTGTTGCTGGTGACGCCCACTTCATCCTCTTCGGCCATTCGCTTGTAAAGCCCAGAAAACGGTTGAGAAGCAGCAGCTGAAGAAAAGGGACCAGGCTTGGACTTGGCTGCAAAGATCATCTTGCTTTTCGGTGGGTGTGAAGGTGACACAGTTGAAGTGTTCATTGGTGACTTGGTGGTCGGCGGTTTGACTGGAGTTGGGGTGCTGGCGGCATTTGTTTTCACCTGATCATTGCCAGTTTTGGGCGGCAGCAGCATCTCCTTGACCTGTCCAACCATCTCCTCAAA